CCCCCCCCCCCCCCCCCCCCGAGTTAAGGTATTTCCCTTCATTCTAGTGCTGCCTCACTGTCAATTTTTAACTGCCTTGTCCTTTCTGTATGAATTGTAGTAGCAATGACAGAACCTTAAATTATGGCACTCAGGGAGGCTGGCAGTCTAGCCTAAATTTGAATATACAGAGGAGCTGTTAGTCTGTAGAGAGCTTCAAACACAGCCAAATTATGATGAAGGAGAACTTTCACACAAAGTTTAAACAGATTTATTAACTTAAGTTTGATGGAATGTCCAGGAAACCATCCTGCCATTCTATTTAAAATCCAACTAATTTTTAATATTAATGTTTGGTCAGATCAAGTCTATGTACAGGACTGCCACCTCATGAGTTGAAGAAGTAATCAATTTGAAGTAAATCAATATAATTCTGTCCTTGGTTACACTGGGGTATAAGAGAATAAATTCATTGATGGTTGAACTTGGTTCCATATTGTTGCATTTTTGAGGAAATCAGAAAGGAGCCTACAACAGAAAACTCACTTGTAACCTTAACTGTTGTTAACTGTATGTGTAATTCTGAAGGGTTTATTTGCTTTTTGTAATTTGAAGTATTTGCAAGGAAATATTGTAGGAAATTGTTCATTAAAAATTAATGGGAAAATATTAGATAGTTTGCTCTAAGGTCAGATACTGGCATTTTTTGTATCCATGTTATTATTCATGTACATGGTTGCTTCTCATCCTTTTTATGTTTCTCTGAAACTTTTGTCTTCCATGTTCACTCATGTTGCATTTATCAGCACAGAGGAATATGATCTGTGGCCAACAGTTTCTTTCAACCATCTTCTGCATTTGTCCTGCATTTACCAAAATCCCGTAGGGTTGCCAATAACAAGCTGCTGTTGTTTTGAAAGAGCAAATCCCCATCTCACCAAATGGAAGACGCTTTGTAACATGTTCTCATTCTTCTTCATTTGTGACTGTTTAAATGCTATGGGGTTTTTTGAGGGATAACAGCTCCACTCCTTTAGACAGAATGTTTTTCTGTATTTACTTGAGCTTAGAGCAATGTATGGCTGAACAGTCCTTGTTTATTCTGCAGGCTGTACTCTTCCTTCTCCTCCTCCTGCAGCTCTAAAATGCAAAAACACACTCGTGGTCCTACTACATAGATAGTGTGAGCAGAGAGGTTATTCAGGACAATTCACCACTGCCTATTTTTTGTGGATGTAGCTTCTTGGCTACCCCTCAGTCTGTTGCTGAGGTTAGGCAGTTTTGGAAAACCAAATCAACATGAGCCTCTCAAGACAAGGTTTGTAGGGTCAAGTGCGGCCTTTTTTTAGGCCAAGATGATATAGTGGGAAAAAATGGACAAACTTTCAAATACGTGAGGCTTTTCGCAAGTCATCTATCTAAAACATCATGGCTCTGAAAGCACTAAGCCTTGCTGCTGTGGAACAGCTATGCACTGTTTGTGAGTCAGTAGTAAATAAGACTCTTTGGCTGAACTTCTGGCAGGACAAACTTGAGTAGCTATAAAATAATGTGTCGCTCACTAAACATGGAAGAGTTAGAGAAATATGTCAGTGAAGTAACAGGGGTGAGAGTGAGTGGATTGGACTTTAAAAACAAACATGTCTGTACAAACTGAGATGTTACTGGGTTCCTAGTGAAACAAAATCTATGTATAAGGAGTGTTCAGGCTTCCTAATGAAGAAAACTTCACGAGTTTTTACACAGAGATGCTTATGGGCCACCTAACTGAAGTGGTGTTCATTTGCAAACTCAGAACTCTTCTAGGAAGAAAACTGCTTTGTGAACTGAAAATCCTTTCAGGTATATATTCAGGTACTGTCATGGTACCAAGTGAATTTGGACCAAATATTGTTTCACTTTTGCTAGTGAAAATGGGAAACAACATCACTGAAAACAATGGAATCCCACTGCTGGAAGTGAGAACAACTTGGTTCTTTGTGCTTATAAAACCAATAGATAACAAAGTATTTGTTTGTTCATTATACATATTTAATTAATATTAATAGTAAAAGTAATCTCTTAAAAAGTGAATTTGATTTTATCATACTTAGTTCTCAATTTTTTTGTTCGAGGTACACTTCAAAATGCTGCAGTAATTTTTCAGCAGTGGTACCCTCTCTGTTATTCAAAGGAAACAAGTGCTGCCAGGTGTGAATGCTAGTGGCACATCTCTGTTCTCAAATGCAGGTTTATAGCTGTACAGCTCTACTCAAAGCCCAAGTTGATGGGTCTGAGAGACAGCTCCTGTCCCCAGCGTGCAAATGTACATGTACCATAATGCACTGAAGATAGGTATTGCATGTCTGCATGGCATTGAAGTGTGCCTGGTGATTGACTAGAACTTGAACATCTCCACTGGGAAATGTAGCTGTACTGTCGGTACACAGTTCTTGCTTGGCTAAGGTTTCATTTTGTGTGTTAACATTTCTTACTTCTGGTATACTTCCTGCAAGGAAAGCATTAGTTTTTCAAATGAGGATCCAAAGTGCTGAGATCTCAACTCAGACACAGAAAAGGCTTGGTAAAGGCCTCACAAAGGACCATGAATCTTTTTGAAGAAACTGAGTTTGTTTGTAGTGAGCATAGGTTGAGAAAAATAAGAAAGTTGTTCTGGTGCAGAACAGGCCCAGCACAAGGATAGTATCTTCTGGGAAAAAGTAAAATCCTGTTAGCTACAGCAATGGATCTAGGCTTTTCAAAACATATGTTGTCTGTGGTGTTGCTGATGCCTAGGCTCTGTCTAGATGTGCAGGGTGATGCCCTGAAGGTACATAGCTGAGCTGACTCTGGATGAACTAGCCTTGCTAGCAGAAAACATCTCCCTACACCAGCTGAGATCAAGCTTGCATGCAGCACTGCAATGCCGACCTTTCACCTGCACACAATTAATTTGGAGGGTTTATATGTAGTATTATGTAGACATGCCTGTAAAGCAAAAAAGACTCTGAAAGCTGCCTGGTAGAATAAAGTTTTACAGCAAGGACTTGAGCTTATTGTGCATAGAGGTACTCCCTCCAGCTTAACTGAGGGGTTTTGCTCATACATATAGCTGTATAGCTGAGATTTTGCTGACTCTGGAAGCAATACTAACAAAAGAAATGGCTTCTACAAGTCTACACTGTTGCTGGGAAAAGGAGGGACAATCAAGTCATAGGAGTTGGGAGTGATATTATGTTCAAGAGTTAGTTGTAAAGGGAGATGTTTCCTGCCAACTAAGCCATCCATTCAGGTAGACAGTGCTGGAAGGCCTTGCAGGGCTCTGTCTTCCTCTCTGCATTTATAATAATAATGCAGAAGGCATATTCATACACATATCTGCTATTTATGGATATTTTTCAACAGCAAAAATCAAGTTTTTCAGGAAATGGAGTGCCATAGCTGAAAAACCCCAACGTTCTTCCAAACCCATAATCTTTGGAATGACAGCTGTAGTTTCTTCAGAGTAAACCTGGGTAATCTCTTCCAGCTAAGTGCTGAGAGAAAGAGGAAAAGGAGAAGTGTACGGTTCTCTAATGTCTACCTTAGCTTGTGTAATTAATATAAGGAGTAACTTGCTGGTTACTCAGCTGAATGATATACTAGCAATAGCAACATGGCATTAATAACTTGGGAGGAAAAGGAAAGAGATGTACTTGAGTGAATATTCCTCTCCCAGCAAGAAGCATCTGAGTCACCAAAAACCAAAAATCAATCACAAATCAGGCAGCCCAGTGGTAGCTTTTGTCTTTTTGCTTTTTGGTTAAACTGCAAGATGAATTAAGGGGTGGTTGATCTCTTTAGAGGTTTGGGGCTTTGGATGGATCATATCCCAGTGTTTATATTAGTTCTGTCTAGTTGTTTTGTAAAACTTTGTTTATCTGGCAGGAAGAATGGAGCAGCATTTTACACATGTAGTGCCAAGTCTACAACTGAATCAACCGGCAAAATAAGCAGCCGTTCAGAAATAACTGCTTGGTTAGTTGCGGTGACTTTGTAGGAGACAAAACCACCAGAAGACTGAGCAATGTGAAGCATATAAAATTCGGAAAGATTAATTTTGTCTTACGTTGCTCTCATCCTGAGTGACTGCGCCTGAGCACTGGTCCACAGCAGCATCGTTTTCACCCACTGAGAATCTGGCCCAGACCTAAGTGTGATACATTTAAGGGATGATATACACAGTCATTAAGGATAAACTAGACAATCATGAGAAACCCATTTTCTGACAACAGAAAATTCCTGTTGCTCTTTCTGCATCGTCAGGACAGAAAGGCTTACTGCACTATGGACTGGTTTAGAGGATTATTGTATATTGTCTTGTAAACATGTACTTTTTTCTTTTCATTCTAGGTGCCACAGGGACTACTAAAGATGTGTAAGTACTTACTCTGCTCTTTCAGATATATAACCCTGGACTTCTCTTCAGTCCTACAAGCCTTATACTAGATTTAGTCACACAGGATTAATCTGGCTCTTAACATATAATCAGCACCACCAGATGTTTGTCTTTAGTGACAGCTTCCATCTCCACAAAACAACTTCATGTCTCGTTTACTTTTCTACAGATTCCTTCCCTTATTATTTCTCCAGCAGAAATGTCTTTTTTTCTGCTTCTGTTGAGAGAATTGTCTCCCAGAGGGGGTCTTGTTGCTTCAGACTACTCTTCCCTGTCACATACCAGTATATCTTTTTCCAGAGGCTGTGTCATTGTATGAAGTGACCACATAAATTTCCACAAAGCCCTGTGAGAGATTTAACAAGTCATTGAGGCAAATTTCCCCTCTTTGCAGGAGCCCCAGTAACCCATCCAGACTTCCTTTTCAAAGCACTCATCTTCTCTAGATCTTCTCTGCATCGAAGATAGTATCTATTGGCTCCTCTTTCTCTCCCTTATCATTGACACTGGGTAGCACAGGGCAGCCCTACCCATCCTGTTTGTCTCTAAATGTGGAATGTTTTAACCTCTATTGTCCTGTTGCCTCTTGCCAGCTTCTGGTTTTCAGAAAAGCAGCAGCAAAAGATCAGCATTTCTCAGCCCATTTTTCATTTGCTGATGTAGAAATGTGCAGGAACAGCTTTATTCAGCCATAAATTTGTTTTCCTATCAAAGGAAACATTAAAGAGGTCCTCCTGAGGTCTTGCTTCTTCTATTTCATATAATTGGTATTTGCCACAAGAGTTTCAGACTGAGGGACCTGGGAGAGATTTTCATGTTATGTAATAGGAACATTCTTCTATTTACTTCATTTAGAATAACTGCTCTAATTAGACAGAGGAATCCTGGTGTAGAAATGAGGGCTGTCAAGTCAGATAAACAAGCAGGGAGAAGAGCCTAACAACAGGCTTGCTCTGGCTATTACAGAGCACAGCCGAGAACTAACAACAGGTCTCACTTGGCAGATAAACACTGTTGTCACAGATACTCTTGAGGCCTGTGTTACCGGTGTAGTCTGTTTTCTGGGTTTGCAGTGTCAGTCAATAAATAAATGGCAGAAGGCAAGCTTATGGGGAACCTTGCCTTCATACAGCCTGCAGCATCCATGCCCTCAGCAATTCTATATATACAAAACTACTGTTTTTAATTTATATTAGGGCCTTTTTTTTTTGTTGTTCAATTTAGATAATTTAAATGAGTGCCTTAGAACTGCATCTCTCTCTTTGCTGTTCAGTAGTTACTGTAAAAACTGCTAAATTATGAATGTAGTAGGCATGTTTCTGGGCTTAAAGGTACGAGTACGTGTAGGATTGTGCCTATGTGTGTGTAAGCATTTGTAGAGCCAGGGTTTAGGAGTTGAGAACTTCCTACTTAGTAGGGTTATATCATCTGTCATGTTTCAAAAAAATATGGGGATAACTTAGAAAAAAGTAATTACTAGTGTAGACTTAAACAAAGTGAAAGGGTCAATCCTGGAACCATTGCGCATTCATATAGGTATAGTGGAGCCAGCCTGTGTGAGTAATAGCATGGTTGAACCTTCTTGTCAAACATTAGAAACACAGATCTGTTAATGAGTAGTGGCAGTGATGACCTGAAAAGTCCTAAATCAATCATGCTAGTATTTAAGAGCAGATTTTTACAACAGAAGTAAAACACCAGAAAAAACTACTTTAGTTTAATGGAAATGAACAAAGCATATATTACCTAACAGTATGGATCCATACAGGATTTTATTTTACACCATTTCACTTTTACCAGCTAAAGATTTAAAAATTCTCTTTGAAAAACCCACTTTCTTTTTGGCCGTCAGATTTCAGTCATATTGATTCTGGTCCAGAAAAGTATTTAGGTGTGTCCTTACTTACAGCATACTCTTTGATACAGAGTCTGGTTATTCTGACTCAAGATTTCTCTTTTCTTGGCTGCAACTCATTGCCAAGGCACCAGTGTCTCCTGGAGTGAGCAGCCGTGTGGAAGGATGGAGGGCTGGATCCTTCTCTGAGCCTTCCTTGGTGACTGCAGGGAAGCTTCTTTGCCCTCTGGGCCTTGATTTTTTCCAGGCACCAGTGATATAGGGATGATGATATGATCTTCCTGTGCAAAGTGCTCTGAGACTGAGGGCTGCGTGGTCTGGAAACATGATGTCTCCCTGTGTATTCCAATCCTCCAATCAATGGTGAATCTGTTGGCCACCCTCTGCCCCACTAATAAAGAGAAGTAGATCACAACTAACTGGAAAAACTTAGATATAAGAGGGATAACGTATATGCTAGAAAAAAAAAATACAATGCCTGTGATATTCAGAATGTGGCTAAGTTTAGAGGAAGATTATTAAGAGTAGGAAGGAAAGGACATAGCAGTTCAAGCCTGTTTCAAAATATTGTGAAGAAATCCATCAAATACAAATGACGGGTCCTTGTTCCTGAGAAATGCTGAGAAATTGAGGCAAAGTGGTCTGTCACTTGTGCAAAGTTTAGTGAGTCATTTCTGATGGGACTACTGAGCACAGCTAGAAAGAGTGTCTATAATGCTTGACACCAACAGGGCCATAAAAGCTGAGGTAAGAAAAATGTGGGTGGAATGAATTAATGTGCATGCCTGTCATTTGATATTTAGCATATTATGTGAAAAATGGCAGCTTCTTTTACCATCAAATGGACATAGGGCTGATGGATGTAAAAACTAACATCTGAACCAAGTACATTTTTCAGACTTAGGAGGGTGACAGGAATCCTTTTGGGATAGACAAATCCTTACCAAAGAAACATCTATTCTATCTGAAAGCAGAATGCTGTTACGTGGATTTGCTGTTAAATCTGGCTACAAGACTCCACCTATGCTATCTGCTGAAAATGTGCTCTCAGTTCCTCTGCAGTAGGTATCAACAACATCTGAGGGTAGATGTAGCAGATCAGTACAAAATACATCAAACTGCAAAATTCCTTTTGCTGTCTATTCCTGGTGCAGAAAACCTTATCCTAACTTGTTCTTCCTGGAGGACTCTGTAAATGGAGATATTTAAAGGTATTTTTTTATGCCAGATTCTTCCTTTATCCCTGACATGAGAAGAAGCTGGTGACACATTGGAGTTAGAGAGAAAGGATGTGCTGGACTCCCATATCTCTGTACCCTCTCTGTGAGTCTGGAAGATGTGGCAATGGGAGCACTGCCAAAACCAAAGGAACTTCTTTCCTTCCTTGTTTCCATGAAGTTGAGCGTTGCTCTTGTAGCTCTTCTCCCTGAAGTCACCCGTGTTCACCCAGCGCCTGTACATTTCAACATGTGAAAAAAGTTGCACTTTCCAAAATGGGGCCTTAAGCTGCTGTGTGTGAAGGGAAGAGGTGTGTGAATATGCAAAATGCATAAACATACCCCATGCTGCATAGAAAGGAGTCCCCAGAAGGGAGTGGAAAACGGCTTCTTCCTTATGTACCAGCCACCAGAACTTTTCTTTCTTTTCCCTCTCATGCTTCCATGTTCCTCCTGTCTCTGCTTACCTCCTCTTTTCTAGCAGGACTACAACAGCTTGCACCCATTCATCACCCAGATCAAGAGCTGTGGCCTGTGCAATCCCAGATTATATTTGCTGTTGCACATTTAAGGGAAAAGGTATTGCAAAATTGGACTTGGATTTGTAGCTATTCAGAGGAAAGGAAGAAAGCAAAAGGTTTAAAAAAGCCCCTAATCCACTTAGTCATAGACTTGGATAATTTGTTTCGGTGAGAGAATGACAATAATAGTCCAGTGATGCCCCATTACAAAACATTTCTAGAACAGAAGAAAATAGCTCTGTTGCCTAGTAGAGTCTTTTTTAACAAAACATTGACATTAATTTCTTGTTGGACAATAGTGATTATTATTCTTTCAACTCCTTTTTAGAGGCTTTGCGCTGTGTGTGCAGTTGCCAGTGCTTTTAAACAATTCTTTTCTCTGGATAATGGTTAATCTGGATTATAGAAAATGTTTCCAGTTGTACAAGAAAACCAATCCTGTGACACATTCAGCTGGTTCGACAGAAATGATTGTTTGTGATCTTTTGGCACCCAAAATCCTATTCTTACACTGTTGTCATTTTTTTCTGCTGAAAATACAGGCTTTTTTCTACCCACTGTTACAAACAGGCTTTCAACTTTCTTCAGATGGAATTGGCCCACACTAGGACAGAGCAGCTTCAGTCCTCAAGGGAAGTTGCTTCTGCATTTTTCTGGCTGCACACAGGAGGACTGAAAGGTGGCTTAGGCTACATGGCATCAGAAGAGGTGGGAAATGCCTTCTGAAACGGCACCAGCTCCTTCAGGGAGGATCAGAGGCTGAGGAGTTTATACTCAGTCTCTCTTGACTGGTAAGACTTAGGCAAAGGCAGAAGAGCAGGAGGCTTGCCCCACTCAGTGCTACGCCCTGCATGAATATCATTTAGCAGAACTCCAGCATACTTGATTTACCCTAATCCTCCACTATTACAAGGACCTGTGTACCCTTACTCACTGTGGTGACACAAAAAGGGTAGTTGGTAATCTTTTGCTGCTTAGAAAGCTGGTAAGTGTAAGATAATTTCTAACATGTAGCAGTATTTTAAGGCATTTGTTACCTTCCCAGGAGAGTGCTGACTGTGGTTTAAATAGTGTTTTCTTGCATTTGAGGCTGCATCTTGCTACGAGCTCTCTGCACTTCAAGCCAAAATCCCATTGACTTTGTGGATCAGTAATAGCATACAGCCCTGATGATTAAACATGAGGCACATTTACCTTTTAGAATAAATAAATTATAGTAAGAAATGTCATATATCATTGTTTAAGATCGTAGTTCAGAAATGCCTTTCAAGGCTACAGTATGGATTTAGCCCTAATGCTGCATGAAGTCTGTCTCTCAGTTTTATTGCCTGGGGAGCAGATCAGAAATTCATGGATCAGCTCCCGATGGGGAATATCTTGGAATTGCCCCCTGTAGTCCAGGCAGTTGGTTCTTCAGTGGGAATATTCAGGTGAGGATATCTGTGTGAACAGCCTGTGCATTAGCACTTCCACAGCAGAGCCCTCCTTTGTCATGGTGCCTCCTTTGCTGTTTGCAGCCATCCCCAGGCACTGCTGCGATTGTCTCTCATGGCTCCCTGTGCAGCTGCAGCGTGGGACTCTTGCTCCGCCAGTTGCAGTGAAGGAGTGAAGGATGTCTGAGGATTTAACAGCACTCAAATTATCTTGGCTCTATTAATATTGCTAGGTTGGTAGGCTGCAGACCAAGCTACAGTGCAGCTGCTGCCCCCATCCCTACCCAGCCAAAGCAGAGCTCAAAGTCCAAATATTTAATCAAAGGTGGGTGAGTGATTTATGTGCAGACTGATGCTGGGGGACAAGGACTGCACCTCATAGGTGAATAGGTGACAAGGAGTAAGAAGAAATTTTTTATCTTTTCCATACTACATTTGCTTTCACATTGACACTGATTATTTTACCCCCTACTCTGGTTCAGCCACACTGGACAGTAATGGGGCGAGTCAAACCTCAGTGATTGCCCATTTGTAAAGGATTAGTAACAGTTATATGGTTTGCAAACAACTCTGGCTTCAGGAATTGCAGTACCTCATTTTATGCTCTTTTGGCACAGCTGCTGTGAAAGTTTATCTTTCTTCATCCTTATTCCCATGCCAGCATGGATGCCCAGTCCCTTCCAGTCCTCTTTTGGTGGAAGAGCAGCTCAGACTCGTTCCTGAGATGTGCAGAATCTTTGTGTTCCTGTTATGTGTGAGGCAGTGTGGGGACTCACTCAGGAAAAGTGTTAATTCAGCTGTTTCAGCTCCCAAATCTTCTTTCAGGCATCACTGGCAGGGGCCATGAAAAGAAAGCTGCATCTGTTTTCAATCCTTTTCTTTCTTCTGCACATTAGATTGGAAAATTGTCACTCTTTTTGTACCTGTGTGAGTACTCTATTGAATTGCAGATGACCTGAATTGTACTGGGATCAGTAATAATCCCCTTGTTCCCTTGTTCTCGAATGTAGCCAGATGGTCATGGAGTACCTGAAAGAGACAATCTGCTAATGTGCTTTGTATCTTTTGATGTTACAGAGCAGAAGAATCTGTATCAGATGATGACAAACGGAGGTAGGTGCTCTACCGAGGCTGGCTTTATTTACAATAGCCTGCAGTGAGTTCTACCTCCTTCCTTTCCTCCTCCTAATTCCCACCAACACCATCAAAGCAGAGAAAAAGAAGAGAGAGGAGGTTATCTCCCACAGAGCCCAGTATTGATGAGTGCCACCACCCTGTTAGTGAGCTGGGAGGGGGAAGCTTTCCGGCAAGAAGAGCGCATTATCTCACAGTTGTAGGTGATGTGCTCAGTAAGGGCCAGTGATCTCTGCCTTCACACCCGCCCCACCACAGAAGATGGCATTAGCACTTGTGGGAGATCTCTGCTGGGTTGGAAATTGAAGGAAGTATGGAAGTATATCATCAAACAAATCAGAAATCAACTCCGAGCCGCAGGGGCTGGAGGAGGTGTGAATAATGTGGCACCTAACGGGGCAGAGCAGTGTAATGGGAGTCTCTGCGAGTAGCTCCAGGCATGGCAGATGCTCTTAAGGATCCAGTTGTTCACCTCCCTGCTTTTCATACAGGCCTTGGAGCCAGAAAGTATGCTCTGCAAGGCCATGAAGGGGAGAAGCCTGGGCTAGGAATGTACCTA